CAAATTATGGAAGCATCCCAAATGTTCATCAATAGAAGAATGGATGAAGAAGGGGCACCTGGGTGGCGCAGTCGGTTAAGCGTCCGACTTCAGCCAGGTCACGATCTCGCGGTCCGTGAGTTCGAGCCCCACGTCAGGCTCTGGGCTGATGGCTCAGAGCCTGGAGCCTGTTTCCGATTCTGTGTCTCCCTTTCTCTCTGCCCCTCCCCCCGTTCATGCTCTGTCTCTCTCTGTCCCAAAAATAAATAAACGTTGAAAAAAAAAAAAGAATGGATGAAGAAGATGTGGCATGTATATACCAGGGAATATTATTAAGCCATAAAAAAGAATGAAATCTTGCCATTTGCAACAACATGGATGGACCTAGAGAGTATAGTGCTAATTAAAATAAGTCTAAGAGAAAGACAAATACTATAAGATATCGTTCATATGTGGAATTTAAGAAACAAAACAAATGAGCAAAGGGAAAAGAGAGAGAGAAGCCAAGAAAGACTCTTAACTGTGAAAAACAAACTGATGGTTATCAGAGGGGAGGTGTGGGGGGATGCTTGAAATAGGTGGTGAGGATTAAGGAGTATACTTGTCCTGATGAAAAGTAGGTGGTAAGGAATCGTTGACTCACTATATTGTTCAACTGAAACTAATATAATACTGTATGTTAACTGTATCAGAATTTTAAAAAACAAAAATAAAAATAAAAGCAGTGGTTGAATGTAGTTATTCAACCACACCTCTAACTTACAAACTAAAGGTATCCAAATGGTCAACAATCACACACACACACACACACACACACACACACACACACACTAAACCTAGGTAAATAAATATACGCAAAAATGTTGTAGGTATGCAAAACAGATTGCTTTTAATGAAAAATGAATTTAGACATTTTCCCAAATGGAAATGGTGAAGATTATTTGTGTTTGATCATAAAATAATATAAGATCAAATGAATACATTTATAAATTGTTGAAAACTCCGGTGATTTCAATCAAAAAAGTTCTGATGTTACATGGTAGCCTAAGATTCGATTGTCACTATTTGAACAGACAGTAAGTAACATGTCTATTATACATAATAAAGGAGGTACAGACAGTACCTCATGGGAAAATTTCCTAAATAGATTAGCAATCTAGAATTTATCAGAAGAATCCAGAATACCAATATCCACCATAGCAGCATGGACGATAACAGGCATATCCATAGCCACGATAGCCACATCCGTAGCCACATCTCAGGCCACTATAGCCATAGCCCAGGCCACCATAGTAATTGTAGAAGTTCATAGTGTGAGGAGAAGGCTCAGATGAAGAGAAGAATCGTTTTCTAGGGTGTTAAGTTTATAATCTACAGGGGCCTTATATGTCAATTGAGTGATATATGGGGCAAACCACAAGCTATTGGATTCATGTTTCAAACTAAGTGGCATTATAATCATCTCAAGAATTCCGTGTAACCAATATATCTATAACACAATTTTGCCATGTGTCAGGATGCCTGTAATGAAATCATGTGTTTTAACGAAAGTTTTTTCACCTATTGTGATGACTTGTTTGTTCCAGATGTGAGATCTAAAGTATATTACTAACTACCACGAGATCACATAACCCATACAGATTTCACTTCTTCAAAATTCTTTTTTTTTTCTTTAATAAGATCCTCCTTCCCATCTGCAAATATGCACCTTTGGAAACAAAAGTATGGTTTCACAGAGGTAGAGAAGGATGGAAAACTTGTGGAGAAGATGTGGCAAAAAAAGATTTGTGGGGGGTATGAAGAATCAAGAACTTAGTTTCACTTTATTAAATTCTTGAGGGATGTCAAGTGATCATTTGGATATGTGTCAGACTTGGAAATGTGAAATGAGATCAATTGGCTAAAATAATGTATGTAAAATAATCCTTGAAGAGAGCTTACATACTATATTGTATACCTAAAACCAAAATAACACTGTATGTTATCTACACCAGAATTAAAATTAAAAACTTAATTTAGAAAAAGAGAATTTCTGGGGCACCTGGGTGGCTCAGGCGGTTGATCATCCAACTTCGGCTCAGGTCATGATCTCGTGGTCTGTGAGTTCGAGCCCTGTGTGGGGCTCTGTGCTGAGCTCTGTGCTCAGAGCTCAGAGCCTGGAGCCTGCTTCGGTTTCTGTGCCTCCCTCTCTCTCTGCCCCTCCTCAGCTCACGCTCTGTCTCTCTCTCTCAACTCAAAACTAAATAAACATTAAATTTTTTTTTTACAAAAAGAGAATTTCTATAGAAACTATAAGAGGGTCAAGCGCCTAGCTGGGCACCTTCATATTTGAAAACAAAATCTGAAAAAGAGAAAAGAAAAAAAAAATACTAAGAGGGAGCAACTGGAGATACTGAAATTAAATCAAAGGTGTGTGGTAGGATGTAGGTAAGTGTCCGGGAGCCTTTCAGGAAGGAAAAGAGAAACGGGTGAATCTGAACACTTCTCAGAGACTTAGTAAAATGAAGAAGGCTAAATCTCTAGATGTGACAAGATTGGGGTGTTGGTGAGACGTTCAGGGGCGGTTTTAGTGGGGCGTGGTAAGGACCAAAGACCAAAAGGTGTGATCAAAGATGTAAAGAGAGAACAGAAAGCTACGATGGAAACACGTGTGAAGGTTTGCAATGAAACAGAAGAAAATGGGATATTAGCTGCAAAGGAGGACGCAAGGACCGTTCTTTTACTCTGTTTTTGATTATGGGATGTACTTAAGAACCAAACATAGTTCAGAAAATCACAGCAGAAAACAAATTGTCAATGGAATCTCACTGGGCTGGCAAGCTCTTACTGCTATCATCAGAGAAAGAACTCAGTTCTCCAGAAGAAACAAATTAGCTCCAGGAAGTAAGTTCTATAGAGAAATAACCTAGTGAATGTTGTCATTAGAGACATTGTATTGCACAGAACAGTAATGTCTTTTGCAGCTACATTAATCAAATACCAAAATTTTTTTTTAAAGTTAATTATAGGTTTTTTTTTTTAAGTTGACTGTTACCATTTAGCAATACAAATTTCAGGTGATGTTCTAAGAACTTAGCCTCGAGGAAGACTGATCATCACGTTATTTAAATTAGTTTTTATTTGAAAACTTATTCTAAGTTATTACTTGATTGACTGCACTGTGACAGTTGAAGTTACTTTTATTTTCCTTATGAAAAATTTGAAAATGATATAGTGAAAATGTCCTCTCCTTGTAGTATCTCAACCCAGTACATGGTGAATAAAATGACCCAATAATATGTCTATTTCATAAAAATGAAGCTACCAAAAGACACGCATGGAAAGAACATTCAAACACACACATTAAATTACAGGTTGAATGTGTTTCATAGGATCCTTAGTATGAAAACAGTCTATTTTTTTTAATGTTTAATTATTTTTGAGAGATAGAGAGAATGCATGAGTGGAGGGAAGGGAAGAGAGAATTTGAAGCGGGTCCTGTACTAAAGAACACGATGTGGGAACTCAGGAACCTTGAGATCATGACCTGAGCCGAAGTTGGACACTTAACCGACTGAGCCACCCAGGTGCCCCTGAAAACGTTCTATTTTATTAAGAGGCATTGACTCATTAGATATACTTAAAAGGACAGATGGATTGGAAAAGTTTTAAATCTTGTGTCTTCATTTTTATGATCTCTGGAGAAGAGTTAACTAAAATACAGAGAGTGTCCAACTGCTTATTCTCTCTGTCCCCACCTATGGTTATGAGGGGATACATAAAAATAATAGTTTGACTCAGAAATATCAATACAATAACAGAAATATACTGACAGATTACACATGATGTGTGGGTAATGACACCTCCCCAAATTCATTCTTGTAAAGTCTGTCATGTGAAGCTATTCTCACTTTTCCTGTGCCTCCCAATGGGAGGCATTATCACATTAATTTGAATAAAGACTAATAATAATGCCAAGGTTATGCAAGAGAACACAATATGATTGGTTACAAAGAGAATAATGATTGGGTGTTTTGCTAAAGGAACGGACCTCTGTGTAATACACTGATAAACATAAATACGTGATGTTAAACCTGTTGGATACTTAGAATATAATTCTAATATTAATGAGAATACTGATTTGTATAATTGTGTGCCTGATTTAGAGGGGAAAAAGCAGAGCAATTGGATCCCAAGGGATAACATCTGTCTTGTAGTTCTTAGGTAGACACTGAACATAAGTGAGATTCAGACCTATTGGTATACATAGAAAAGTGTAATACATTTTGCTCAGACTTGGTATTTTGAAAAATTTAACTAGATTATTATCAATATCATGAGGATGAAAGTTACATTATGGTTTTAGTATAGAAAATGAGCTGAAACCCTGAAGAAAACAATTAACTTGGATCAAAAGAAGATGGGGCACCATCGGTTAAGCATCCAACTTGGTTTTGGCTCAGGTCACAATCTCACATTTCGTGGGTTCAAGCCCTGCATTGGGCACTGGGCTGACAGCACAGGGCCTGCTTGGGGTTCTCTCTCTCCCTCTCTCTCTCTCTCTCTCTCTCTCTGCTCCTTCCCTGACCGCACTGCTCTCTCTTTCTCAAAATGAATAAATAAACCTTATTTCTTTAGAAAAAGAAAAACTGATGAGTCAAAAGTAATTTGGTTCTTATGAAATGTTAAAAATGTTAGTGCAACCAACCAATGCCAAGAGCAAATAAGATTGAGACTAATAAATGTATTTTTTCTTGACATAAAGGATGGTTATATGAAGCTGAAATGAAAGTCTAATTTGGGACAACACTGCATTGGTGTGAGGGTGTATCTCCTCTCTTTGAAGCCTTCAATTGGATAAGGAGAGTCCAAACTGAGAGCCAAACACAACAAGCCTCCCAAACACCTCCAAGAATTATTTTATGGTAGAGAAACAACAGACTAATTAGATTAGTCATAAAATTAGCCAGTGGCATGATATATATGGCAGGTGACACCCACATTGAGAGCATATAAAAAGGCCCTCTGGAGGGGGAGTTGTCCACAGTGAAGTGACACTTCTCTCCTTCTCTAGCCAAGCACAACCTCAACAGCCAACATCATGTGTGGAAGCTACTACGGAAACTATTATGGAGGCTGCGGCTACGGGGGCTGTGGCTATGGAGGCTGCGGCTATGGAGGCTGCGGCTATGGAGGCTGCGGTTATGGAGGCTGTGGCTACGGAGGCTGCGGCTACGGAGGCTGTGGCTATGGAGGCTGCGGCTATGGAAGCTCTGGCTACAAAGGCTGTGGCTACAGAGGCTGTGGCTATGGAGGCTGTGGCTACAGAGGCCTGGGCTGCGGCTATGGCTCCTGCTATGGCTGTGGCTCTGGCTGTGGCTACTAGTAACAAGGGCACCGTGGGGGACTCTCACCCTCTACAACTGGACATGGCATTCACCAAATCTGAGCCCCACACGGTCTGACCTTTGCTGAAGGCTTGCCTTCTGGTGCCCTTTTGGTCAAATACAGAGTTATTCCTATATTCAACTCATGAAAAGTGGGAGCATTTGAAATTCACCCTGAGCACTGCGTGGTTCCTCTTTGCCTTGATGCAGTCACAGATTCTCTGTTTCGATTTTCATGCAAGAACTATTTCTCTGTTTTCATAATAAACTTATTTGGTCTGAAATAATAAACCTAGCTTTCTGTTCATTTAATGTCCTCGTTTTTCTACTTGGGTAAGGCACTGATAGCACGTGTTATGCTGGTTTATTGTGAGGACGAGAAAAGATAATGTTTGTCGATTTAGTTAAACATTGCCTGGAAACGCTATTTGTTCCAAGTGCTTTTACACCAAAACCATAACCGGCGAAATACTTTAGAAGATACGAAAGTTGGCATACGATTCTCCAGTTCTAATCTGTTTTGGGGCATAAATAAGAAGCATTTCCTATGCTTGTTTGACACAAGAGGTAGAGAGGTTTAAACCTATTCTTCTGCATAACTCCTATGTATCTGGAAATACATAGTTTTTTTAAGTGACAACTTTCCTAAAATCCATTACGTATTTAACTTTAGAGCCATTTGATGGCATTCTATACTCTTGTTTTCTTGAGATTTCTTTCTCCTGTGATTTATGTGATTTCACAGTGGTAGCTGTAATCACTTGTTTTTCCACTAATTTTCTGTGACTAATGTGCCCGTAAACTTGGCCAATTATCTTCTCTTGATAGAACATTTCAAGCTTTTGTGTTAGACATGAATGAGTTTAAGTAGTGTTTTAGCGCAAGATAATGGATATGTCCCAATTCATTTTGACTGGCCCAAGGTAGTAAAAAAGTTGAAACCGTAAGAAGGAATTAAGATCCCTGGAAAAATCACAACCCAGAAGGAAAGCACCTTCTTTTTTTCTTTAGAAAGCCATTATTTTATGAAAACTTGTCTTTCTTAATTTCCTTTACTCTTGAAGCTTAGAATTTTCTACTTCATAGTATGCAAAAGCTTGGATGGTCTATGCTGTCCATCCCAAGAAATGGTAGATTTTAAAACTATTTTGGCCTGCCTCATAGGTCATAATAATTGAACACGAATAAATTAGATATTGATGCAAATTAGATAATAGGCCCCTCATTATAGACTCACAAGATAAAATTGTTGCTGATTATAATTTTCCAAGATCTGCCCTTAAGCTTTTTTTTTTTTTTTTTTTAAACATAGGCTCCACACCTAGCACAGAGCCCAACATGCGACTTAAACTCAAGGCCTGATCTGAGATCAAAAGTCAATGCTCAACCGACTGAGCCAACCAGGCACCCCTGCGCCTTACACGGTCTTAACACGACCATATTTGGTTGATGTTGTTATCTTCTCTAACATATTTCACTTTGGGTTAAATGCCACTGCTAACAGCCCCAAGCAAACATCTACTTTGTATTCACATTGGTTTGTTCACTTCTTTAATAGCTTCAAATTATGAATGACTCCAACCGAAACTGGAAAACATAAGATTCCTTTACATTTCCCTGTTCCACATTGCTTCTTTTTTTTTTTTTTTTCTTACAGTGAACACTCTGGGCCCCAACACATTGCTGTGTTAACTCTATTCAAACCTGCGCACAATATACAGTCTGAATTGCCACACTGAATGCAATGCCCGTGAGCAACCTCTAAAGTTTCTTAGCAGCATTTTTAGCATCAGAAGAGATCCCACCAAGAATGGACAGATTATTGTGTTCAACATTTATATGAATTAATTTTCTTCCTGAGTAGTTATGCTATTCATTTTATGGAGGACATTCTTTTATTTCCATTTATATTCAATTTCAGGTGTATTTATTCTGTTTTTTTAATATATTAAGTATTTCCATGGTTCAGAAATCAAAACTATATAAAAAGATATATTCAGAGAAGCCTCATGCCTATATTTATCCCTCCCATCCATTTGTACTCACCCCATTTGTATTTTCATTTTCTTCTGCTTTCTTAGTGCAGAAGCAAGCATAAATATTGTATTTATGTATTCTTAGTTTCCTTTTGTGTCATCCAAAGGTTGCATACTTTTTGCACTCTTTCATCATTCTATTTTATGGGTTTTATTTTTCCTTTTTCCTTTTTTTATCCTTTATGCTTATATTCAGCCTTTCAAACAGGAGTCACTTACATTTAGGCATTAAAGAAGTGACTCACTGCAAATTTTGGTACTCCAAAAAATAGTATTTTTCTCTATATAAACTCATTTCTCCCAGCATTTATTTTTGAAAAATTTCAAACCCTCAATTAAGTGGAGAAGGCAGTATAATGAACAGCTAAGTACTCTCTACCTAGATTTGACAATTGTTAGCATTTTGCCATGTTGGTTTCCCCCTTTCTGCCTGTCTGTTCTCTGTCTCTCTCTGTGGCTCTGTGTCTGACTCTCACCACACACACACACACACACACACACACACAAATGCACAAGCACAGGCAATCATTCCTGAACAATACTATTACATAATTCATAGTCAGATTCAGTTTTTTAATATTTCTTTTTTAAATGTTTATTTACTTTTGAGAGAGAGAGAGAGAGCAAGCATGAGCTGGGGAGAGGCAGAGACAGAGGGAGACAGAATCGAAAGCAGGCTCCGCACTGTCAGCACAAAGCCTGACATGGGGCTCAAACCTGAGATCATGACCTGAGCCAAAGTCGGATGCTCAACTGACTGAACCACCCAGGCACCCCCTATATAGCTTTTATTTCTGATACAGAATTCAATTCATAAAAACTATCATATTTTGCAACTTATTGCTTATTATAATCTAGCATTTCATTAAATCTAGAGCACTTCCCAGACTTCTATTATTTCACAATGTTAATAAATATATATATTTTTAATTTTAATGTTTATTTGTCAGAGAGAGAGAGAGAGAGAGAGACAGAGTGCAAGCAGGAGAAGGGCAGGGAGAGAGGGAGACACAAAATCTGAAGCAGGATCCAGGCTCCGACCTGTCAGCACAGAGCCTGACCCAGGACTAGAACTCACAAACCGCGAGATCATGACCTTAGCAGAAGTCAGAATCCCAACCGACTGGGCCACCCAGGTGCCCCAATACATTAATATATTCTTAACATTGCAAGATAATTATTTACTAGAACATGTCAAAATCTATTTTTTCTGATTGCATCAATTATAATATTCATATATTTCATAATCCAATACATATTTTAAATTTTTTAATATTTTTATTTTCATTTTTGAGAGAGAGCAAGAGCAGGGGAGGAGCAGAGAGAGAGACACACACAGAATCCAAAGCAGGCTCCAGGCTCTGAGCTGTCAGCACAGAAACTGAGGTGGGGCTTGAACTCACGAACCATGAGATCATGCCCTAAGCCAAAGTTGGATGCTTCACCGACTGAGCCACTCAGGTGCCCCTCATAAACCAATATTTTCTGAAACAAAGATTAAGATCATTAGATATGCCAAAAGTTAGGAAACCGAAAGGTCAAGCAAGCATTGAGTGCACATAAGGCAACTTTGTGCCTTATAATAAATCCTGAGACCAAAATTCCACCTATGAAGTATCAAAATTGTATCTCCGAGAATCCTGGGTAATAGGTGAATTACTTAAGAACTTTACACTAATTTTTTTTTACATTTATGATGCTTATACCCCTAACACACGTAAGTTTCAATGTTGTGCATTCACCTTGGATCCCCATTTCCTCGAATTTTGGGGGGCAATAGTACTGTATCTTTTTCAGCAATGAAGAAATGACTCTCCATTTGCTGGGGGTGTTACAAGCAAAGTGCCTTCAGCTGAAGAGTACCCCTGGCACAAGACAATACCTGTTTCCTGCAGCCAGTCTCCCGTGATGGATCAGTGTAGGGTATAATGACATGCCTTCTCGCCCCAACCTCCAACTACTCTTCTGGGAAATCCCAACTTCAGAATCTCCCATATTGTTTCCTGAGCCCTCCACTGAGCCTACAGCCAACTCAGCTTCCCCCGCCCCATCCAGTCTGCCTCTGCCTCTTCATTTCTACAATATTCATTCCAGGAATTAATTGCTCTAACAATGGTCTCGTAGAAAAATAATCTAGGGGCGCCTGGGTGGCGCAGTCGGTTAAGCGTCCGACTTCAGCCAGGTCACGATCTCGCGGTCCGGGAGTTCGAGCCCCGCGTCGGGCTCTGGGCTGATGATGGCTCAGAGCCTGGAGCCTGTTTCCGATTCTGTGTTTCCCTCTCTCTCTGCCCCTCCCCCGTTCATGCTCTGTCTCTCTCTGTCTCAAAAATAAATAAATGTTAAAAAAAAATTAAAAAAAAAAAATAATCTAATCTGGGGTCACACAGTGCACCCAGTTGTCACGCTGTCTAGTCTCTTCTATGACCCTAATATTTTTACAGATTACCAGAGATTGTTTTTTCTTTTAGAATATTCCTCAGTTCTGATTTGCCTAATGTTTCCTCATGATTAGAACAAGGTTATGTAGGGTGCCTGGGTGGCTCAGTTGGTTAGGTGGCTGACTTTGCCTCCAGTCAGGATCTCACAGTTCATGAGTTTGAGCCCCGTGTCAGGCTCTGTGCTGACAACTCAGAGCCTGGATCTTGCTTTGGATTCTGTGACTCCCTCTCTCTCTGCCCCTCCCCCTGCTCTCACTCTGTGTGTGTCTCTCTGTGTCTCTGTCTCTCTCTCTCTCTCTCTCAAAAATAAATAAACAAAAAAAAATGTAACTACTTTAGAAAAAGATTATGCATTTTGTCAAGCAAATAAAGGGAGTGCAAATGTTTTCTTGTCATTATACTCTATCGGTTCACACTCGAAGTTGATTTGTTCCAATACTGATGGTGATAATTTTACACTTGATCCTTATGGTGAGGACCAGGTTTCTCGACTTGAAAGGTATTTTTATTATTCTGTTAGCCATTAAGAAGTACTTTGGTAGAGATATTTTGTGACTTTATAAATATTCCATTCAAATCCCCAAATTGATCATTAGTCTTAACCACTTATTTTTCTTCCTTGCCTGAATTATTTATGATGATGATGGATTGCAAATGTTGATTTTTCTGATTTTCATCTTTTTTCATTACATTGGCTGGCATTCTACTGCAAGGAACTTTTTCCTTCTGCTTCATTGTTCCTTTATTTACATCAGTGTAAATTCATGGATTTCCGTTATAAGTAATCCATTATTATAGCAGGAATCGCAACTCCTAGGCTGTCTCACGAGACA